AAAAAAATAATATAGTTTAAGCTATAAAATTTATAGTATTTATTTATTTGAATAAATTGTTTTTTGGTTATTAATTTTAATATAATTCAAAAAAATTCAAAAAATGAAATAAATAAAAAAAATATGCTATATAAATATATTTCAATTTATTATATTTTTGAATATTGAATTAATTTTAAATAAAAAAGAATTAAAAATTATTTAAAATATTTTTGATAAACTTAAACATATTCGCATTTTTTAAATTATTAATTTACTATTTCATTTATTTTATAAAAGTTTTTTTAATACTGTCTAGTTAAGTAGCAAATTTTGCATATTTTAAATAAATTCAAATTAGTTTGAATCTTATTGAAATATTTTATAACAAATTTCATAATATTTTGTTATATATTTCATAATATTTCATAATATGTTTCATAATATTTCATAATTAAAAATTTCAAAATATTCTATATTAATCATAATTATTGCAGAATTTTTCAGAGTATAATAACTTTCATAAGATTATGTTTATATATTTTGCTGATATTGTAGACTGTTTTTAGTAGTCTATTTTTCTGGTTTTCTCTTTTAGTTGTAGAATAACCTTGTAAGTTGTGTTGTGTGTTGAGTTGTTGTTGTTTTCATCTCTTGTTCTTTTAGTTATTTTAGTATCTGCTGTATTTTTAGAGAGCTTTCAGAAATTATGTAATTTTTAGGTACTAATAAATTTCAAAATTTTACCCCACCTATCCACACGTGATACTTTATTAGCCAATCAAATTTTATATAGTATTTTTTAAAACTTATTTATATATTCTAATTTTAAAATTGATAAACTTTTAATTTACTGAGCCAATTAAGATAATTTAACTACAAAAATGATCACCTCAATAAGATGATTTTAACAAGCCCAAAATCATTAAAATCCAATCACAGGGTCCTAAGATAATTTAATTTTTATTTAATTTTAATTGTAATTTTTTAGAATTACTAAATAAATTATTTAAAATTTAATATCTTTTGATCTATTGGCCTATTTTGGATGATTTAACTACTAAAATGATCATCTCAGTGAGACAATTCTAACAAGCCAAAAATTACTAAATTCTAATTACAGGATTTCAAGAATGATAAAAATTTGTATTGTTAGACAATTATTTAATTTATATATAAATAATTGTTTAACAATACAAATCTTTATTAATCTTGAAATTCTGTAATTAAAATTTAGTAATTTTAGGCTTGTTTGAATTGTCTCACTAAGATGATCATTTTGGTAGTTAAATCATTTAAAATGGGCTAATGGATCAAAAGTTATTAAATTTTAAATAATTTATTTAGTGATTTTAAAAAAATTACTATTAAATTACATAAAAATTAAATTATCTTAGAACCCTGTAATTGGATTTTAATGATTTTGGTCTTGTTAGAATCATCCTATTAAGGTGATTATTTTGGTAGTTAAATCATCTTAATTGGTTCAGTAAATCCAAAATTATTAATAACTTTATAATATTATACTTTTAGCCAGAATTATTTTATACTTTTGGCAAAAATTATAAAATTTTGACTAAAATTATAACCTGATATTTTGGGGACTCCACCTACCCACCCAAAAATTACGTAATTTCTGGAAGCCCCCTTACATCATTTTCATACTTTGCCAACTAATTACTCAATTCTCAACTGATTGTATTAGGTTAACCAATTAAGAATTTTTTCAACCGATTAACTGAAATTTATTTGGTTCTAGTTGATTAACTAATTATAGCCCAACTGATTCAAATCACTATCTACTGATAGATACTAATGGTAAATTCCTACTGATAGTTGTCAACTTATATTACTAGTGAAGAGGCATACTCTTTGACCAAAAAGCATACATCTATTATATGATATAAAACTATTATATAATTGGTCAATTTGATAATTGACCAATTAGAATTAAAGCCTACTATTGCTAATTATGATAATATATGATATATATATCTATAGAGAGCATGTCCTGAGTAGGGGTTTACAACCCAGACACATGGATGTGTCTAACAAAAGGTCTGCATATAGGCATAGGCATAAAACCTCAGGTATGAACATAAATATAGGTATGAAAACTCAGGCATAGAAATAAATATGTATATAAAAAATTGACATAGATATAAGCACGGTACAAAAAATTTCATAGGTATAAGCACAGATACAAAAATTTAGTATTTATTATTTAATTATATCTGATACTTTGCTCAGCATCTGTGCCTGGCACCTTATGTCTAGTACTTTGTGCCCATACCTTTACTAATGCCTGGCACTTTGTGCTCATGCCTTTAATGATGCCTAGCACTTTGTGCTCATGCTTATAATAATGCTTGGCATTTTATGTCTATAGGTATAGGAATGGCATAAGGCATCTAGTGCCTGGCATAATGTTCATATACCTGATATGGGTATTTGCAGACCCTTAGTCCTGAATATAAAGAGGCATGTTCTTCACAAAGACATATCCTAAAAATTTGCTATACCCCCAACCCTAGTCACAATAAACATATAAATACATATAGAATATGAATATATGGATTATATATCTCGAATATGACAACCTAAACAAACAATAACTTGAGACTACTAGTGCAAATGATTTAGCCAGGATATCCCTCCAAAGTACTATTATATGATGAACTTCGCAGCTGCAGCTATATGTTTCTAAATTCTAACAATTGTAAATTGCCTATATATTCCAACAATTGTAAATTGCTTATATATGATTGGTGAATATTCATCATATGACAGTACTTTGGGGAGGCCGTCCTGGCTAAATCAATGCAAATTTCTAACCTTTCCAACTTTTCTACAATGCTGATATCAAAAAAAACTATTTTTTTTACACTGTTTGGTTTTTTTTTTTATCTTAGATATATTAGGTATATAAATTAGAGTAGAGACTAGTTTAAATAGTAGTATGTAATTTTTATGAAGCCTGACACAGGCTTATAATTGTGATCATCTGATATGGGTGAAAAACTCTGTATTTAGTTTAGGTTTTTTTGCTCTTTCCTTACCCTTTCTTTTCTTGTTTGTATTTTTTTTTTTAATGTTATCACTTATATCTCTGTGTTGTTTTTAAATTTTTTTCTTTTTTTTCTGCTTTCTACAAGATGTCATCAAATTGGTGATATTCTATTGTAGGGCAGTGGTCAAACAAGCCTCTGGTTAAAATATTATCTTAATTGATCATATCTTGCTAGTGTGGCAGTGTTGTTTATGGATGCTCTGGTAGTAGTTAGTTATTTGTGAAGTAGCCATAGAATGTCAGAACCTTAGATTTAATGTTATAAGTTATAGGCGAAGTTTGTAATTTTGTGGTTTTTCACAAGACCGGGCTTTATTAAACAGAGTCACTAGCGTGATCTGCCTAAGTGGAAAAAAAAAAATTAAATTAAATTAAGAAAAAAGTAATAAGAAGTTCTATTTTGATTCCAAAGCTGTATGTTTAGCAGTCTCTTTCTTAATTACAGCTGCTTTAAGAGTGCCTAAAAAAATGTGACCTATCATATATACCAGCTTTTATTTCCCTTTAGGTTCTTTAACTTACTAGAGAATGTCAAATTTGAATATAGATAACATCTCAATAAATAACCACCTGATTTATAGTAGATGTTACCTATATTATACAGTATTTTATTCAAGAAATACCTAATGGTTTTTTTATAGATAATTTCATTACCTCTGACGAATATCGTAAAAAACTTCGTTGAAAAGTTTATTATTTTATAATTCAACATTTATTTTGGATGTGAAAAACTTTCACTTCTATAATTATTTTTTTATTGTATACATTTCCAATATAAATATTAGACTAGTCTATAAATTTAGTTAACAATCCTATTTAGTCGCTGAATCACTATTAGGTTCTTAATTTGAAAATGCAACGATATTTTAATAATTTTTAGTATTGACTTAATAAATTTGTCAGGTTCTTGAGTTTGATACTAATGGAATATATCTGGATTTTGGTTATTATCCCAAATCAAGTAGAAATCCCGATTCCCAAACCCAAACTATGTAATTATGTCATCGTTCAAAAAAAGTTTTGGGTCGCAACTCTAGCCTTTAGCCTTTGATTTTCTTCTCGAAGTCGTTCGACCTCTTCACGAAGTGACAATGTTTCCCCACAGTATTTCAAAAACATCATTTCCATCTCAGTCTGGTGATAATACGTATATGTTAATTAAACCTGAATTTATATATAAAGAAAATTTAAAAATGAAGATATATCGTTACCTTTTGAATATGAAACTGTCGTAATAATTCTAAATGCATATTTTGTATGTCATTACGTAAAGATGTTCGAAACTCTTGCAAACATTCGTCAACTGCATTCCTAATTACTTGTAATTGAAAGTCTGTAGTCATTTCATTATTTTGAGACTCAACCATCTCCTCTCCCACTGACGAAAACGTATGGTTATTTTGAGACTCAACCATTTCATCTCTCACTGACAAAAACGTATGGTTGTTTTGAGACTCAACCATTTCTTCTCTCACTGATGAAAATGTATGATTTGTAAAGTTATCAACCATTTCCTCTCTCACTGGCAAAAACGAATGATTTGTCAAGTAATTTGGGGACTCAACCATTTCCTCTCCCACTGGGGAAAATATATCCATACTATTTTTTTCTTTAATATCATTTGAAGTTTGTGGTGGTGGTGAAGGCCTTGAAATCTTACTTTCCTCCCTTACTGGCGAAAACATATCCATAAAATTTTTTTCCTTAGTATCATTTGGAGTTTGTGGTAGCCTTGAAATCTTACTTTCCTCTCTCACTTGCGAAAACACATCCGTACAATTTTTTTCCTTTTTATCATTTGGAGTTTGTGGTAGCCTTGAAATCTTACTTTCCTCTCTCACTGTCGAAAATATATCAATACAATTTTTTTCCTTTATGTCATTTGGAGTTTGTGGTGGCGGTGAAGGCCTTGAAATCTTACTTTCCTCTCTCACTGGCGAAAACATATCCATATAATTTTTTTCCTTCGTATCATTTGGAGTTTGTGGTGGTGGTGAAGGCCTTGAAATCTTACTCGAGGTCGGAGGAGTTGACCCCCTTGACGATGTTCTAAAATGACTCTGTTTCTTGACAATAGTATTACGTCGATCCGTAGAACGATCTTTCTCCTGTCAGTAGATGAGTATATAATTTGATAAATGTACCCTCTCTTTGAAATTCTGTATAATTAAGAATTACCTGAAAATGCAAACATTTAACCGAGTTTGGTTCATGTCCATACAAGGTGCACATAGGTTTGCTGGCTGCTCGTAGGTCGTATATCAAAATATTACCTAACATATTATACTTTTAGAAAAATGTCTATGGCACTAATTTGATAATAATAATAATAATAATAATAATAATAAACAATTTGCTACAAATATCTACCCTGAAGTGTGCCTGCAGCTACAGTTACTCCATCAGCCTTAAATCCCAATGCCGTCAGAGGTGTATCTGTATGTATAGATTTCAAAGTTCTGTGATAATGCAATATCACATTCATATTAATTTTTTTGTTAAAAAAAAAGTTTAATTAATATTGTACATACGTCTTTTTACCAACATCGTACAGAACGATACGTTTATCCAAACCACCACTACACATTAGGTGTGAATTAAAAGGCGAAAATGCGATTCCTTTTATCTCAGAATAATGTGCACTTTCAAATGTCTGTAAAGCCGTTGAAGAAACACAGGTATCCCATAATCGTAATGATCCATCCTCTCCCCCAGCAGCCAATAGCCCTCGTTTGAAAAAAGAATATTCCAGAGCATTTATAGACTAAAGAATTTTAACGTTTCGTATAATACTATCATATAATAATGTCAACATCATGCATTTAAAGGAGAAATAAAATGAATTTACCATACCTGTTTTGTTAAAACAGTTAAATTATCCCATGCATTAGATTTTTGCCGATTATGCACAAGGATTTGTCCACTTATACTGGAACTAGCCACAATGGTTTCATCAACATTTAAATCGATGCATGTGATAGTGCTGCGATGTCCCTAGTGTAATTTTAATATTGCCTTAGTTTTTTAATGCATGAAGGCAAGAAAACGAGCAGAAATCAGCTGATTTCTTTGGGAGTTTATAATCTTGCCAAGTCCCAGTTTGTTAATATTATATTAACTATCAGGTAAAAGTCTATGTGGTTAACCGAAATCACCTGATTTCTGCATATTCTTTAAGAAATTATTCATAAATCATACATTGTCAATAAACCAACCATTACCTTAAGTGATTCGGTAAACGTTGATTCTTTTCGATCCCAAATGTTGACAATCTTATCGGACCCTCCATACATCACGTATCGTGATTTGTTTGCAAACCGAACAGCATTTATATCTGGTATATCCTAGATTATCCATGAATTAATTCAACTTATAGTTCAATTCTCTGGTACTTAGTGGGCAACCAATATTTCATGTAATATTCACCGATCCTTCATCATTCAATGGTATAGTCTCGAGAAGTTTTCCCTGTGAATCATGTATCGTAAGATTTCCTTCATTTCCTGCCACGGCCAAGTATTGACCTTAAAAGAAAAAAATTAAGGAAAAGTATAAACTCCGAACTATTCTAAATTTATAATTAATCGAATCAGTGTCATATAAACATTATTGATTGTAAACACGGAAGGATACTGTCGTGACTCCATCGAACCGCATTGACAGCTGTCGACAAATCGGCAACTGTAAAAGAAGCTACTTCGACACCAAATAGCTGTTCTGGAACACTACTTGTAGTGGCTTTTCCTTTGAGTTTTGTGCTTTCTATGCCTGTCTGTAAATCCCATACTTTGACATCAGCTGATGCTGAAGCTAATAAATTTGATGGCATTATGTGATTAAATTTTGTATAGATTTCTATTTTTTAATTCTACGCGAAAAATTCAAATATCGAAGCAGTAGCTGTAATTAGATTTATATACGCGGATTATTTTTGTACTACTGTCGCCAACTATGTGTACGTACGTATGTGCTGCTTATGGCTACACAGAAAAATTGAAATCCGGGTAAGCATAAGTTGTTGCATATTCGACAATTCTGCATGGATACAGATAAACAAAAATATTGTTTCAAGACTAGCATAATTATCACTCACTCCCCCAGTGCTACCCTCTAAGTGAATCAAGGTTAGATTTAGGATAGCAGGATTGAGGGTAGATTAATAGTAAATTTTGTAACTCAAGTCATCGAAAGTCATTTTCCCGAAAGAACATAAAACTTGATTTAGCCGGAATATGTCCTTTCGGGAAAATGTCTTGGAAAATCGTACTGTAAACAGGTAATTAAATAAATATTATTAAGAAAAAAAAAAGTAAACTGTGAAATAATTGAAAACCATTTTATTATAATTATTATTCTAATCTTGTTCATTTAATTTATCTCATCTTCGCAATTCAGCTTTTATGCGTTAAAAAGGTTGTTCAAACGCTTCTTTTATTCTCTTGATCTAAAATTATTGTATTTCACTCGAAGATCAAGACAAAGAACAATATACAAATTTTATAATGATAAAAAATTACCTTCTGTTCACCTAGGCCAGGACATATGGCAAGTTCATCTGACGACGCATTTATAATTCGTTTAAGGGACTATTACATGGAATGTTTAAGATCCATTATTAAGTTATTCTCAGGGAAGTACGAGAATTATTACTCACCCCAAATGACGATGCGAGAGTGACAACATCAGTTTTGTTTACAGATCTTATTTGAGTCAAACAATGTGTCAACTATTATTGATCATGTAAAAAGTAAGATATTTATGGCCATAAATAAAAATGTTCAATTATAAAAGCGAAATAGCACCTTTGCTAAATAATCATTTTCGACTTTTTCCATAATTATTTCTGGTGTTTTATATTCAAACGTTTTATATGTTTCAAGATATCTTCCCGCTTCTTCTTGACTAAAGAAATTGATTTGAAAATCAATCCAATCAACTAGAACGAAAATAATTCCATTTATTACCTCCACGCCAATATTATTGTAAAATTGTTAACCATACAAAGCTTTGTAAGTTCACGAATTGATTCTTGATGAGATTCCTGAAATAAATAAGACTAAATTAATGTCGGCTAAAAAAATTTTTCGAAGCAATAAATATTTACAATATCGACAAGAATTAACAAAATTCTTAATATGTATTGATGGGCAAGTTTTTCCATCCTATTGAAAATATATTCAGGATGAAGGCGATGATATTTAAGACTATAAAAATAATATAAATTTGATAAGTATATCAATGATTGATATAGCGCATAAGCTAATGTAAATCGAAGTCATCATGCCTAAGAAATAAGGCGCAAGTTGTTTGACCTAACAAATAATCTGGAGCAATTTCGCTATATTCCCATGGTACATTACGGATGAATTGCAAGATTGGATTGCCACGCTAGAATTTTGATATTATATAATTTGAATTAGCCAATAAATAAAAAATTCATTTAATCTTTATTTTAAACCATACCTGACATCCATTTATAAGAATTGCATTCGACGAAACCGATCGTTTTGATGAAGATGTAGATCCGCTATTAGCTAAAAAAGGGCCTTTATCCAAAACTTCTCTCGCACATTTTACAATATGTTCAAATCTAACAGGACCAAGCGAAATTCCACCAAACCATCGCGTAACGATTACAGCTACATTCTTTGCATTCAACGTTTTAAGAAGATTTAAAACACGTTCTCCTGCATATTTCTCCCCATCATCATCACTTTCTGGTCAACAAAAAAAATATATGTTTGCGAAAAATGACAAATATATCAATCTATTAAACCTACAACGAGAGTTTACACAGTCACCTCTCTCTAAACCGGTTCTGGATAAACTGAACGCCTAATAGGCTCTGTATGTACTGAACTTTAGACTAAACTTTTAAGGCCATTTTACTAATAAGAGCCGTAAGCCCGGAGTAGAGGGAGTTGTCTGTACTACTTATAATTGAATAAATGATTGTAGAATAAACCTTCAATAAGGGTTCCGTCTGAAGTTTCTAATCGAAAAGCCAATACATTATGTGTCGCATTTTTTTCCTCAAACTTTATTTGGTTTAAAAAATTATCAACTTCTTGCTTAGTTTCTACTCTTTTTGCGTGAGCAACAAATATGCTCCTACGATCCTTAAGTCGTGAACTATGGAATACATTTGTTGGAGTTGATTCGGCAGAACTTTCGCTTATCTCTCCTGACATTGTTTCAGTCAAAATCGATAAATCTGAGTTGTTTTTAACCTTTTATGGTATTTCTGCAGGCCATCCCGATACAATTCATTTAAAAAGAGCAATATTTGATAGATTTTCAACCATTCAGGCAAACCTTAAATATTTATCATGAGCGAAGAAAAAGTTGTAACCGATATTATTACGTTGACCCGACATGTTCTTGACGAACAACGTAAACATAAGGATGCTACTGGCGATTTAACTTTGTTATTAAATGCCATTCAACTTGGCTGCAAATTCGTAGCGACCAATGTTCGAAAGGCGAGGTTATTAAACCTGTAAGAATTTATTTTAAACGGCAAACTTTCAGGACCCATTTACTAAAAATAAAAATCATATTGTCATATCAAGTCTTAGTATTATCTGGAGCTTATAAATTTTATTTTTTATCAGAGTTGGTCTTGCTGGTGGCGCATACAATATTTCGGGTGATGAACAAAAAAAACTTGATGTTATCTCAAACGAAATTTTTGTCAATGCACTTCGCTCTTCTGGAAAAGTGGCCGTGATGGTTTCCGAAGAAAATGATGAAGCAATCATTGTTGAAGAAGGATTGAAAGGGAAATATTGTGTAGTGTTTGATCCGTTGGACGGTTCTTCTAATATTGATGCAGGTGTCAATATTGGTACAATCTTTGGCGTCTATCGTGTGGTGAGTTTTCTGCTTTTAAATAGACTGTATTTTGATGTTGTAATTTATACATCGAATAATCTTGATAATTATAAAAAAGGCTGAAGGGTCACCCGGAACAGTCAAGGATGTTCTTCGTCCTGGTAATGAAATGATTGTTGCCGGTTATTGTATGTATGGTAGTTCGGCAAATATGGTTATTTCTGTTGGAAATGGAGTGAATGGCTATACCCTTGACGATGTAAGCTTTAATGTGATATTTATAAATGAATTTTGATAGATTCTTATTCTGGTTTGTTTTGTAGTCTATTGGTGAATTTATCCTTACTCATCCCAATGTAAGTGAGAATATTAAATGAATACTTCATATTTTTATATAATAACTTAATTTTATATATTTTATATCAAATTTTTTATAGATCAGAATCCCATCCCGTGGCAAGATATACTCAGTGAATGAGGGTAATGCAAAGTACTGGCATGAAGCTTGCGAAGAATATTTCCATTCGCTTAAATTTCCACCAGAAGGTAAAAATCCATATTCGGCCCGTTATATCGGATCTATGGTAGCAGATGTTCATCGTACATTTTTGTACGGTGGAATCTTTGCGTACCCTGCCGATAAGAAATCCAAAAGTGGGAAGCTTCGTTTGTTATACGAATGCTTTCCTATGGCCTTCCTAGCAGAACAAGCTGGTGGTAAAGCTATTACTGGTCATGGAAGAGTACTCGATGTTTGTCCAGAGGCTATTCATTCTAGATGCCCAATTTTCTTAGGCAGCAAAGATGATGTGGAAGATGTTGAAAGGATTTATAAAAAGTATTCGAAATAACGTGTTAATGCAATTAATTTAGTATAATAGATTTGTTTTCCGTTTTAACAGTTTTGCGTTTATAACTAAGCACTTTAATTATAGATCATAATAGGAGACACTACTGGATATCATACGTACACAATTTGAATCAGATCAATTATTTAAGATCCCAATTTAATTACCAGTATTCAATATAATATATAAAGAATAATTTTTAACGAACCTTACTCTTAATTAGAAATATCGATATTCAACGAAAAATGGTTACGAACCAAAATCTCGAAACTTAATTATCGCGTCGTGTGATGTCGGTGAAATAATATTCAGAGTCCGCAGACAATTAGTACCGTATTTGCGCGAATGAACGCACACGGGCGTTATTTAGGGACACATACTGGTATTTTGAAGAGACCTAATAATTAATTTAGCCGATGACTGTTAATAACAAAAAATTATGATTGCATTCAGATAAATTAGTTATGAGCTCGAACTATTTTTCTCTAAATAACGCCCATGAGCGTTATTTCTCGCAAATACGGTAATAATGAAAAATCATGAAGTTCTGAGATTTGGTCTAATTGATAGTTTTTGATTAATAATTAATAATCAAAAATTAGCCAATCACTATTATCGCCTCAGGTTGGATCTGGCCTTGCGTTGGTCCCTCAAAATGATTACTAAATATTAATAACGATGATGACTCTAAATATTATATCGCCGACGTCACGCGACACGATGATTAAGTTTTGGTATTTTGGTTTTCAGGATATATTTAACCTTGACCTGTAGTCACGAAAAAGTACTATATGGGGCATGGACTAGGAAAATCCGTCTTTGACACTTTTATCAATTTCGAGATTTTTGATTCAAGCTAAAATCCAGTTTATATCTATATGTATTTCGCTTTTTATCATACGTTGATATAATAATTTAACGAGATATTTTAAGGGATTATTTTTATACCCCACCAATTTATTATTCAGACTCCCTACAGATTTAACTTTTTTTTAAACTTTGAGCGAAGATATCTCAGTAACTACCAAGCCAGATTCGATAAAATTTTTTTTTTTAAATTCTATAGATTTCTAGAATTCAAACAAAAAAAAGTTCATCAAATTTGGCCTAGTACAGTGCGAGACACTTAAAGACTTCACAAACTTTAAAAGCTTATAATATTTGATATAAAAACAATATCACAAAAATAGGCTACTATTTTGTAATTTAACTAATTTACTACAACTTAGCAGCCTTATTTTTCAAAAAATTATTTTTTTTTAATTTATAAGTTTAAAAGTATAGTATTTTTATATGATGTGTAAAAATTTGGCTAAAAATAGATAAATCATATGTTTTGGCTTCTTGCTATTGGATAATTTTAAAATTATTTTTAAAATTATTTTTAAAATATTATTTATTAATTAATTTTTGACCAATCAAAATACAAGAAATTAAAAAACATCAAATTTCAATATGAAATTTTTAAAAATGGGATGAATCATGTGATTGTAATCTTTAGATGTCTTGTACTGTAGTTACTGAAATATCTTTGTTCAAAGTTTGAAGAAAATCAAAATATTTATCAAAATTGCAAAATTTTTTTTAAACTTAGAATAAAGATATCTCAGCAATTACTAAGTCAAATTTGATAAATTTTTTTTGTTTGAATTCTATAAACTTATAGAATTTAAATAAAAAAAGTTTATCAAATTTGGTTTAGTATATTATTTAAACTAAATGTTTAAATTAAATTTGTAAATTTATAAGGATTTATAATTCTAATACTTTTTGTTGATTTGTTTGATGATAATTTTGTTACAATAGCCTGTTTTTAAACTTATTTAATTTAAAATAATTTAGTTAATTGTTATAAAATATTATAAATAGAGTATATTTATTTATCACCCAGAGTGGAATCTCATTCTCTTAAATTTGCCAATAAATTTATAGGATTATATATAATATTTATATAATAAAACAAAGAATGTTTTAAAAAACATCAATATCTCAAAATTTTGATCATGAAATCACCTTTTAGGCTTTAAGTAAAAAATTTCTTGTTAAATTTTATATAAAATTCTTAATTCTAAAGTAACAAAAAAACATTTTTAATAAGTAAGTTAAAATTCACCTAGGTAATAAATAAATTATCTCTTATAAATATTATTAGAAAAAAAAACAAATAATAATTATCATTTTCATTATTTGAATTTTCATATTCTGTTTATTAATTAAATAATATAGTATTTTAACAAAAACTTTATGAAAACTTTCATAAGTTTCAGTAGAAAATCTATTTAAAGAATTATATTTTTTAATTAAATCAGTTGTATGATATATCTATAAATGTAATTTTATATATTTTAATTCTGATAGTGAATAATTTTAAAAAATATTTACAAATCGTTAAGTTTAATTTGTTATTAAAATCTAAATAAAATAAAATTATTTTAATATTAATTATTAAATTTAAATAAATTTAAAAATTATAAATAAAGGTGTAGTGACTTAGTGAAGTGATCAAGTTGTTACCTACAAGTAGTATATCTAAGATTCGAATCCTGTTATTAGCGAATCTTTAAATTTCTATCCATGTAATAGCTATGATCTTCTCAAATAGATGGTATTATGCATAGCATCTATTAAAGTTGGAGCTCAGTTCTGTAACTTGGTATATTAGTGCTTATACTCTAAGATATTATAACTGGTTAACTGTTAAGTTATCTGGATAACTGAATGATAAAATTGACTATCAGATTACACAATTGGGATATCTAGTTTTATCTGGTTAACTCAAAAGATAATATAGGATAATATATAATTATATATAATAATATGTTGTATATTAAATTAATATCTGCATTAAATTAATTAAATGCAAATCTTATTCTGATACATAATATATATAATTATTATTACTCGATTATATAACTTTATTAAAAAACATATGGATACATATGAGAAATATATTCACTATTATTAACAGGCTCAAAGCTCTAAAGCTACGACACTAATTCTTATAAACATTATTAATCAAACTGATCAGCCTAATTCAAAACACTCCATTACCCTCTCTAGAAGAAACACTAACAGTGCAATATGCAATTTTTCAATAAACTTATAGCACCCCAATAAAGAATATTCTCAAGAAAGCTATATAGTTATAAAGAAGATTGAGTATATTTTTCTCTTAATGTGGTCTTTGCATCAAACTTACAGCTGCAGATAACAATTATATTTAAAGATCTCTGCATTGCTACTGCAGCCGTGAAGCCTCCCTTATATAACAACAAAGCCTCTAAATACCCTATGCTTATAGTAAACCATACTTCTACATTATGTCTATATGAACTTGACTCCTAGATTTCTTTAATGTTTGCTAATAACTATAGTTATTTATTTCTCTTTCATATGTAATCATAATCCTAATTCAAGAAATTTGCATCTAACAAGGAAAAACCTGACTAAAACCAACAACAGATCATAAAAGACAACCCAAAATTCAAACAAAAACGTGATGGCTCATAAAGTTATCTGATCTTACAATAATAGTCACCTTGTCATTTTGTTAACAAGCTTCACAATTATAGATAAAACAATTTTAAAACACATCATTTTGTAGTTTTTGATATAAATATATTTTTGATAAATGATTTTATAGCCCAATTTGTTAATAAAATGATAAAGCTTGTATTATATATTATAAATCAGCCTTTTATAGATCACTAATTTAGCCTTTTATGTAAATGTAATTAAAGCTTCTAAATGTATGCAATAATAATAAGTATTAAATAATAACATGTGAAGTAATGTAGATAAAATTTGATTATATAAAAATTCTGTTTATATTTTTGGCAAGAATAAGTTAAAAAAAATTGGCATATGAACTATTATATACTGTAAATAGATAGAATAAATAGTAATAGCTAACTAAATTAAATTAGTATTTTTGTTACTATTGCTAGCTCTATTGTGATAGGCTAGTTTGTTACTCTTCTTATCCAACAGTTTAAAAATTTAACAACCTTTTAATAAAGATATAAAAACAGTTTAGTTGCTATAAATAATGTGATAATTACTTTGTTAAATAGATATAAGCAATAGAATTATATGTATAAATTATGATTGTCAATTATCTATATCATTCTCTATAACTTAATTGTTCTTTTTAATTATATATTTTAACAGTAAGCAATAGCTTTTAGCTAAGATATAGAATAGCTAAACTCTATTTTGATATTTCTTTGTTATTAAAAACTTTGATTGAATAACAATAATTAAACTAAATTTGATTGTGCATAATTTATCTAATCATGTTATATGTGTATAATTTATATAAAAGTATCACCAAGTTAAAAATCTAGAAATTTTAAACTTTTGTGCAAAAAAAAATTAATATTACATAATTAAAGCTTATTGAAATTTTACAGTAAATTTAATTTTTCAACAGGTTTATTATTTATTAAATATCAATTTAAGAATTGGATTTAATTAAAAAAATTTTAGCCAATTTTTATATAAGTGTATAAGAATAAAAACCTGTAATTATAATAAATAATTATGAATAGTTAAAAGTTTTCATTCTTATGCGCTTATATAAATAAAGCAATAATCAATGAATTAGCATAGGTTTGAAATCTGTAATAAAGCAAATTATAAGTATAAATATGTTGCTAACCCTAAAGAATACAAGAGTAATTTTTTACTTTTTCACACTTTTTAAATTAAATTAAAATTGTAAAAAATATTCTATATTTTATATATATAGTTTATAAAAATGCTTAATAACGATTCTTCTAATGAAGATATTATAACTTCTCCTTTAAACTTTAATAAACAATATAAAAAACAAAAAAATAGATAATATATAAAATCAAACTTAGAATTATCTTAACCTGAAGAATTAATTTCTAATAAATGTGATGATTTGATTAATAATAATGATAATATACTTGACAACTATAATCAGATCAATATCGATAATGAAACTAATAAGTACAATAATACGATTAATAAAGAAT